GGAACTGACTCTATAAGAAGGGTTTTGGACTCCACATCCCTAACCCTCATAAGGTGATAGAGACATCCCTTAGAGATCAACTTACGGGCTTTAATGCAAGAGATGAACCTACCATTGACTACCACATTTTGGCTCTCCCACTCAAGAATGGGTTCACTTGGGAATTGGAACTTGACCCTACGGGTTCTACAATCAATGGAAGCATAGTATGCATGCAACCAATCCATCCCAAGAACAACATCAAAATTGACCATGTTCAACTCAACAAGATCACAAGGCAATATTTTATGCAAGATGCAAATAGGACAATTTCTATAGACCTTCCTAGCAACAATATATGCACCAATAGGAGTAGACACCTTATATGACTCACGCAACAATTCGGCTCAACATGAAACTTTTTGGCAACAAAGGGGGTGACAAAAGAAAGAGAGGCACCCGGATCAATTAATGCATATACATCAAAGTCAAAAAATTCAACATACCAGTAACGACGTCGGGGACTTCATCGACCCCTTGCCTCCAATGCAAAGCATAAAATCGATTGTGCCTTGGGGCACCATCTTGTCGGCTCCCTCTCCCCAAAGGAACCGCATTAGCACCTTGTGGACGGACCTCCTTACCCTTGTTGCGATTTCGAGGACAATCCATTGCCTTGTGCTCCATTTCCCCACAACTGTAGCAAGCACCGGTATTTCTCAAGCACGGGCCACCATGGCCCTTACCACACTTTCGACATACATCAATAGGACCCATACCACCAACACCTTGGGCCCTTGGAACGTCATTGGCAAACCCCCTATAAGGCGCATGAGAAGACCCTTGGCCTTGATGAAACCGGCCTCCCCTTCGACTTTGGAACTTGCCCTCAAAACGGGCCCTCTTGGCCTCATGACCCCTCCTCTTCCTCAACTTCTCCTCCTCCATTTGTTCGGCATAGACCATCAAGCGGGACAAGTCCATGTCACTAATCAACATTGCGGACCGGCATTCTTCACTCACTAGGTCGGACACACCCATCACGAATTTGTTCATTCTAGACCGTGAGTCGGCAACCAAGTGTGGAGCATATCTTGAAAGTTGGTTAAACTTGAGGGCATACTCCCTCACACTCATAGACCCTTGTTTTAAATTCATGAACTCCACCAATTTGGCTTCCCTAAGCTCAAGAGGAAAGAATCGATTAAGGAAAACCGTTTTGAACTCTTCCCAAGGCACCACATAGTTTGCCCCCTTCTCTTCCTTTCATTGGTTGTACCATATTTGGGCCACTCCTTTTAGTTGGTAGGTCGCCAACTCCGCCTTATTTTCTGACCTCACGCCCATGATAGCTAATATCTTGTGGACTTCATCAATGAATTCTTGAGGGTCTTCATCTAACTTAGACCTATAGAATTCCGGGGGATTCATCCGCACGAAGTCTCTCACCCGAGATGCCGGGGTAGGAGCCCGAGGGGCTTGGGACCCGTGGTTGGCTTGATTAGCCATAGCTTGTGCAAATAAAGTAAGGGCATCATGAAGATCCCCATTGGTCGGTTGTTCCTCGGGTGCGCGGGCTCGTCTTCCTCTTGTGTTAGGCATGATCTAGCATAGCAAAGAACAATCGTTAGGGAAAAACTTAATTCAACTCTACAGCACGACTTAGAACATGGAGAAGGGAAACATTTACTAAAACGTCCCATAACCTCCTACTCATAGTTGTGGTGCACAACACAATCATGAATCGGACTCTAATCAACGCGGTGTGTTGGACTCCGAGGATCTATCAACCTAGTGCTCTGATACCAAGTTTGTCACGACCCAAGCCTAGGGCCTAGACGTGACCGACGAATAGGGAACTCGAAGGAACTCCAAACAAGCCTCATAGCAAATCATTACACATCCTTGGTCGCGGAAGCAATTAAAATGACCATAAGCGATAAGCATAATCAAGGGGAAGTCGGGACTAAGGGAGCAAGAGAAAAAAGAGAATGATACATAAATACCATAGATGAGTCAAGCTCAAACATAATACACAACTTGTCTAACACCACCTCTAAACATGGTTACTTAGCGGGTGCCAAGACAAACTACCGGGCTCACCCTCATAGTCAACACATAACTAAAAAGGAAAAGTCTTATACATAGCAAGAGATCATAAGCAACGTCCCTGAAATGGAGGACTCACCAATAACCTCGATAGAAAATCGTATTAGCCACGCGGAAGAGAATGGTCAAGCGGTGCTCCGGTCCCTACATGGTGACATCATGTAGGCATAGAGTATGCATTAGTACGTTTGAATGTACTAAGTATATGAAATGCAATGCAATGTAACAATAGATGGACATCATAGGCAAAATGCAAAATCATACCCGATAGATAGCATATTAATGAGATGATATGTATAATGATGCTTAGATAAAAAAAATCATATTTAGTGGGGCGTAGTACATGTGTGGCGAGTGACCATCAATATAGTATTTCCAAGGCCTACAACCCCCTTGGAGAGGCGAAAGAGGTACAAACCCCTCAATGTGGTTACCCGGGCCTACCACCCCCCGAGCTAGGGACTAAGGTACAAACCCCTCGTTATGGTTATACGGGCCTACTACCCCCCCGTAATAGGCAACCAAGGTACCAACCCCTCGATACGGTTACCCGGGCCTACAACCCCACGAGCTAGGCTTGGTCGACTCACAACACTTATATAGAGAAAATCATATACATGTGTCCATTTCATCATCATTTCAGTAATTATATAACCATCCGACTCATAGGACGTACATTGGACCTTCCATTTCCTAAGAATTCTATTAATGTGCATTTTATCAAACACATGGTGGGCTACTGTTCATGTAAATAAAATCATGTATTTCAAGAGTACTAAGTCCAACCAATTCCAAAATCCATATAAATCAGCCCACCAACAACATACATATATATATATATATATATATCAACCTTCATAATTTGATCGTGAAAGCATGAAAACCATAAACATCACATAATAATTTCATTTCATGATAATATGCAAAATAGACCATAATAGGGTGTGTAGTAGTAATTTCATACTTCAAGAGTTCATAAATAACCATAAGGACCCATAAACTTGAAGTAGAAATAGAGGATAAATGGTTGGACTTGTGGAAAGGAAGGTTTCCACAATCAAACCCACATACCTCAACTTTGGAGAATCCTTGATGAAGATTGGAATGGAGAATTGAAGCTTGAGATTGAGTCTTGAATCCGGAATTAGAGCTTGAGATGTTTGAATTTGGTTGAGGATCTTGGTGGATTTTGGAGAGGGCTTAGAGAGTGTTTTTGAAGTTAAAAATGACTAAGTATGGGACATATCCCCTTTTTATAAAAACGTCCCCAACACTTAGCCTCAAAAAAGAAAAAATAGTTCACTGGAAATTGCAAATCTGCACAGACAAGTTTTACGAAAATGGTCATAACTCCCTCATCCTAACTCGGAATGAGGTGAAACCAAGTGCGTTGGAAACCTAACTCAAAGAGATTTAATTTAATAGTTTGTGGCCCTTCCAGTTCCTTGTGTGCTAAGAGATATGCCCCTTTAAAGTTGACCCTCCAAATCGCATTTTTTGCGATTTTCGAATTTTGATACGGTTGCTCTAAAATTCGGGTTAGACCCATTTCCCACTCAATTTGACCCCATGAATAAGAATATGAAGTCGAATTTCCAAAATCATGCACAAATTTTGATATATATGGAAATTACAATTATAGGTGTTTCCGAAGCACATTTTCGGGCATTTTTGGGGTCGTTTCACAATGTGTATGTCGGTACGTTTCATCCAATCCCAATTACTGTGTCGGAACGTGGCACCCGATCCAATCATCATACCATAATCACAATGTACATTCTCATAATCATACAATCAAGTGTTGATTCATGGCATACCATCGTTCATTCATACTTATTTACATTAGGTTTGATCAATAGTCCTACATTCACATGCATGCATTATAATTAAGCAAATACCCACATACATCACACACACGTGACATCAAACCATCACCTACCTCGAAACCAAGCTTGAATCCCCCTAAGGCGCTTGATCCTTCCCTTTTCGGATTTTTTCCGCCTGTGTTAGGTCTACAAATAAGTAATAATACGCAAGGATCAATAATTAAAGTCTAATTTACCCGGATTATAACAAACCCAATAAGTCAAGACCAAACCCATGATCCCCATACCCAAATTAGGGCTTTTTCCACCATTAGATTAAGATCAAAACTTTTCCCCAATAATAATTACCTAAGAATATAAGTTCTACGGATCGAAAAATGGATTAGGGGAGTAAAATCCTTACCTTTAGTGCTAGAAAAGGTGGAAAACTGGCAATAAGTTGCCTTGGTTCATTTCTTAGCTCTCAAGAACGAAAATTGCAGAATAATAACATTTTTAGGGTTTAATCGTGACTTAATTCGCGACTGGGCTGCTACGGCGGACCCCATCCCGCTACAAGGCCCCGCCCTGGCAGGAACATGGAGATAGAGAGTCGAAATTTGAGTTCCAAATCCCCATTTCACAACACACCCTCAACCAATGACGTTCAAAAACTACCCGTTCACACTAGGATCCGTTTCGGAAGTTCTACTCGCCCGAATTCGATTCCGTAAAGTCGTATGGGTTCCTTAACGTCTTAGCTATCTACTCATGTGATCAAATTCATAATTAGATCTCTCATTCATTACCAGATTTTCCTAGACCTAACTGACTCAGATTTCGTCCAAATCTGGACAAGGCTAGGAATTTCCAAGTTACTACTCAAAAGTTTTCTGGCCCCCATTCTTTCCCCATTGGCTTTTCCCTAACGACGAAATCAAGTCGTTACATTATTCTTCCAAGACACTTTTGAAGCTTGTGAACACACAACTATCTTGCTCAAATTTTTTTTCTTTGAAGCTTTTAAGAACATGCATACAAGATTAAATAAAAGATAAAAATCAATGCTTTTATATTACAAAAAAAAAAAATCCCAAGAACCTAGGAGGCACTCTAAGCTTCTTCACTTGGTTTTTGGAGATTCATTAATCCTTTTGTCAACCATATTGTTGTTTCTCTAGAAGAAACAACTTCTTCACCAAATGGTTTTAGCACACCAGCTAATTCCTCTAGCTTTTTATGCTTAAGTAACTCTGCACAAAGTTCAAGTAATGACTCTAATGCTTCTTCCCTTCCATTGCTCATCATACTATTGTTGTTCCCCTGTAACAAATTTAGTGTAGTCATTACTGAAGTATCACTCGATGCTCGTTTGTGACCATTGCGTTTTTCTGTATGCTGATTAGTACTTAGATGATGAATGGCTTTTTCTCTAACTTTATTGGCATGTGATGCAACTTCAACATATGGTTTTGGTATTCCTGATTTCTTATAAAAGCATTTTGTACCTTTCTTTCCCTTAGTTTGCCTTTCAATCTTCTGAATTGTACCTTCAATTGTATTATCAGTCAAGGTACTTCTTGTAGAGCTTATGGAATTAGTACTTTCACTTTTCTTGACGGATATGGTTTGGAGTCCTTCATTCTCCAAATTTCCAATTTTCTTTGTCTGAACGTTAGATTCAGTACCTTTGAATTCATGAACAACTCTATCAACTGCAACAACCTTCTCATGTTTTTTTGCTTGTCTAATATACTTGGAAGTTGAATTCTCGCGAGTTTGATCAGGATTCTGTTTAACTTCCTTCTTAGAACATACTTGAACAAATGCTGGTGACAAATTCTGATATTTAGCAATATATGGTTGTAAATGTGGATGCCTTAACAACTCTACAGCCTAATATATTCAGACACAAGAAGTAATGAATCAGTAAATATCTATGCAACATTATTTTGGAATACAACAAAATGCAAGTAGTAACACGTACCGTAGGTCTATGTTCTGGGTTTTTTCTTAGCATGCTTTTAATCAGTCGTTTCCTGGAACGAACAAATCAATATAAGAAATTGATGAAGCTGCAGTCACAAACTTAACGTACTGTGGAAATGAGAAATCGATGTATCTTCTTACCATGTAGAAGAATATATGGTTGGAAGTGGAGATATTGTAGATCTATTTATTTTGTTGATTAGCCCAGCCATATCCTGTTTTTGGAGTTAATTTCACATATGGTCACAGAACGTAAAACATTATAGTTGTTATAGTATGTAAAGTTTAATGACTAACCGTAGCACGAAATGCAGCTTGATGGGCAGAAATTTCAAACATACAACAACCTGAGAAGCAAACCATTATAATCAATGTTGACCAATTGAGAATGCAAAAATTGCACTTTTGATAAGTTGAACATGATGATTTACCTAGAGACCATATGTCTGATTTATATCCATAAGGTATATCTGCTAGAAGCTCAGGACACATATATGTTGGAGTACCCACAATCTACATCACATTGAACAACCAAATAACAATAGTCAACAACTTGTTATTCTCTCTGCTTCAACTTATGTGACATTTTATATTTTGAGACGTCCTAATTTGGATAATGAGGGAGGGTTTATTACCGAAGAGGCAAGATCATCTTTATTCAACAGTTTGGCTAATCCAAAGTCACCTACAGACGACATAACAAGTATCATAAGCAACACAAAATTTGCAGCAAATAAACACTTACTATATGGACTATTTATACTTCTTACCAAGTCTGATTTTTTCGTCTTTGGTAAGGAAAATGTTAGAGCACTGGAGCAAAGCAAATGAAAACTATTAGTATGAGTTACTCCAAAACTCTACAATTTTTTTATAAAAAAAGGTCATACTTTAAGATCTCTGTGAAGAACACGATTCGAGTGAAGGTAATCGAGAGCCAGTAACAACTGAATCAACCATTTGCAAAGTCTCTGTTGGCAAAACAAAAGTAAACTTGATGAGTTCAAAATCCGTTTTGTGTTTTGTTGGAAATTTATTCTTATTTTTCTTACGTCTTCAGGAAAAAATGTTCCTCTGGCTTTTCTAATCATATTAGCCCTGAAAACAAGTACAAAATCTATCAAGAAATACATCATTATTATTGATTAAGATAAAATTAATGCTAATTTAGGCATGTTTAGGAAACTTACATGTCTCCACATTCACAATAGCGTGTAACAATGCAGACAAAGGACTCCTAATTTATGTATAACATCACATAAAAAAATCTTTTTAGCATTGTACATGAATATGTGTACTAAATAAAAGAATATTAAGTCCTTATAGAAAATTTTGTTAATTGTATAAAAATAAATACCTTCTCTACCCATGCATCCTTGTACTCAATAATATAAGGGTTATCTAGCTTGGCTATCAAATTCATCTGCAAAAATCAAAATTAATATAAGGTTAGATAAAAAAATAAAAAACTGAGAGAAGAATAATTATTCTTACTTTAAATAGTAAAAAAAAAAAAAGAGGGAAAATTAATTTTTCAACACTCCATAAGTTCTTTTTTGATAATTAATTAAAGCATAATTAAAGTTCCTTCTCTTTCATCTTGTTTAACACATCATATTATTGATCAACTTATTCCAATTCTATTAGTAAAATAAAGCCATTTTGCTAATACTATCTTCTAACTCTTTGAGTGATGTTATGTTGTTTATGATTTATAAGGCAACTTTGATAATGCTTCAATTTTCAAAGAGAAACAATAGAATTTTTCAATAGAGTGATATTTTAACTTTAAGTCATCTCAAATTTGAATCGAGGGCCACTATTAGTTTTGAAAAGAAACAATAAAACAATCTCAATTCATTGACCTTTCGGTACAATCAAATAGAAAGCCAGTCAAGGGCGGCAGAATCTTAGTTGAAAAATTAATATTGGTAATTCAACTTCAAATTTCATAAAATTAGTTTAGCATTAAAATTATCATTTCAAATATAGTTAAATTAATGTCATAATCTCCTAAATAAGTGTAACCTAAGGTTGTTGTGATTGTTCCATCTTGTTTCGACTTCGTGGTAAATAAGTGTAAGGACTTGAAACACTTCTCTGTTTTTTTTAAAAAAAAAATTAACTCGCCTTCATTAATTATTGACATGTAAAAAGTTACCATTATAATGTTTGGTATACATTTATTATTATTGATAAGAGACATTTTCATTTAATAAATAAATATAGAAAAAATTGAAAGTTATGACAGAAAGAATAATTGCTTGACAGTATGGACGAAGTTGTAAGTTATTTCTAACATTTATAATCTCTACCAAATATTTTACATTTTACTCTTTTTTTCTCATATACATTGTATTTACATATATTTTCTCCGTTCATTTTATTTATTTAATTTAAAAATTTTGTATTTCTCTAAATGAATCATGATTAATTTAAGTAGTATTATAAAATATTTTTGTAATATATTAAAAATAATTTTTATAAAAATTAATTTTAAAATATTAAATAAGTAAAAGCGAACCGAAAAAGTATCCGAATGTATACATTTGGTGAAAGCAGGCCATGTTAGGTGTGCGACATTCCTTCGTATCAATATTAGTAAAATTTAATTTATCACAACCACCTACCACCCTCATATTTTTCATGTGGTAGAAAATAAGTCCCACTCACACAGAGATTAATATTTATATATATATATATATATATATAATTTTATTTTTTTATTATTATTTTATTTTATTATTTTATTTTATTTTTTATTTTTTTATTTTGTTTTGGTTCTTTTCCTTTCCTTAGTTTAATTTAATTATTTGTAAGGAAAATCAAGTAAATTAATCAGGTATCATTTTCTAATTTAAAAGGAAAAAGATCAACAATATCTTTCAATTATTTAAAATAGATCAAATTTACCCCTTGTGATATTTTTTGGTAAAAAAAAGTGTCTTTACTGTTAGATTTTTGGCTCAGAAATACCTTTAACTATTCAAATGGATAAAAAATATTCTCTTTCTAACTGCTGTTTCAAAACAAGGAAAAATGAGCTAATTTTATTTTTTCATAATTCGAAATGAGACATTTTTCCCTTATACTTTTAATTTATTTATCTTTTGAGGGGGGAGGGGAGAGTTGGGTTAAATGTGAAAAATATAATAAGATAAGAAAATAAATAGTATAAACACTTCTTACTTTAAAAAAATAAAAAGAGATGACATATAACTTCTTCTTTTCTGGTTATGTGCATATTATATATGAGTTATTATTCCTGAATATGAAGTCATTTACCTTTTCTTATTATCTTTAAAAATGATATGATTAAAAAAAATTCAATTTTATTAATATCTTGATACGCTTTATTATTTGTTTTAACTTTAGTCCTTTCATATTAAGTTGAGGACCATAATAATAGTTTTTGAAAAGAAATAATAGAATAAATGTTTACTTTAAAAATTAATATATAATGAAATCTTTTATTTCATAAAATTGACATCGGATAGAAATTACATTTAAAATGATTAAACTAATCGCATAATCTCCAAAATAAAATTTTACTTAAATCTTTAAAACTAATTCTTCCATCTGAAATAGTTTAAGGACAAAATTAGTTTATTTTTCAAATTTTTTGAAACAATCGTTAGAACGAAGGGTATTTTTAAGCCAACAATATAACAGTCGAGGGCAGTTTTAAGCCAACAATACAATAAGAGTAAAACACTGATTTTAAATAATTCAGGAATATTTTTAATCCTTTTCCCTAATTTATATTATGTGGATGCTTACATTGTAAATAAACTAGAAATAAATGTTTTCTTCATCACAATTCAATAAGAAATTTGTGTTATCGAACATGATTTTTCTCCTTATTTGCTACTGAACCAGCTCAGTGAAATAATGCAATAGTGAAAAACAAATTTACATTTTGGGACCTGATTCATTTAAATGTCATAATAACATTTTCTATTACCTATACTAAACAAAAAGTTTTGGATTAATAATTTTAAAAGGAAACGATTGAGAATACGATTAACTAATAAAAGTGTGTTTTCTTATGGTATCAGCCAGAGGTCGTGGGATCAAATCTCACCGTTACCCATATCAAAAAAGAATTTCCACATGTTTGACTCATGCCCACACATAAAAGGGCGCATTTAAAATACAATTAACTAATAAATTTGTGCGATCTCTAAAAGGTTAAGCTTTGATTAAAATGACTAACCTCTTGATGGGCAGTGCGTTTGAACTTGTCTGTCTGTTTAGCCAAACGAATCTTCTTCATTACATACCTACAATTCAACATCATTCACAACAATAAGTCATTTTCATTTATTAAAAAATAAATAAATCAAAAAATAATACTCATTTATACTACTAATGAGTATTACAAACAAACAACATATATACACAGTGTAGTTTTACAAAATAGAATGGTAAAAGATAAAATATATGCATATCTAATCTCTATCTAAAAAATAAAGAGGTTATTTCCGATTGATTAATGATATATATAATTGTTGAGACATAATCATCAAAAATATTAACATGGCTAAGATGTGATTTTGAGTCTTACCGTCACTCAATATGAATTCTTATACATGCTTAGTTCATTAAAAAAAAAATAGATTCGCACATGAAAGAATATTCTAAAATAGAATTAATAAAATAAAAATAATTTTTCTAATCATTTAATTTTTTAGTCAAATGAAATGGTTACACAATTCAAATAATAACCGGCTCTTTCTTTAGCATGTAGAATCAAACCAAGAAAAAATAAGCATAATTTAGCAATATGTTACTCCTCCTTTTGTTCTAATTTAAGTGTGTTATTTTTTTATTTTTTTCATTTTTATCTATCCTAAGAAGATTGACTTTTTTTTTCTATATATTAAGTAAACTTATCAATTCTAACATTATAAGAAAGTTTAAGATGAAAACGATTTAAAGGATTATACATATTTTTTAATTAAAAATCACATTATTAACATTTTTCCCTTTAACTTTCATTTCTTAAACTCCCTACATAGTCAGATTAAGACATTTAAATTGAGACGGAGGAAGTAAAGTTCTAACTTTTAATATAGAAGAAGAAATTATTACCACACATAAAAAAAAGGAGAAAAAGAAATGAAGATTATTGTACTTTTTTTCCTCAAACTTGTGATAAACAAGAAATGCAGCTCCAAAAGCTCCTCTACCAATCTGTTCTATCACTTCATACTCTTCCATCTTTGAACATTCAACTGCATTGCTCCTCACTTCCATTCTCCTTTTCTTGTTTGGACCTAAGTTCAAGCCGGAAGATATTTATATTTTCCTTTTAGAAAAAGATAAAAGCATTTATGGTAATACTTTGACTTTCATTTCCCTGAAAAATTATTGCAAAACCCTGATAACACATTTCAACATAACAAGTGAACTCCAATTATATATACATGTTACTAGAGAGATTGATCATTAAATAGAAGGAAATGAAATCACAGTATATGTGAAGTGTGGAGCTACAAGCTAAGGAATTAGAAAGGGTGCAGTAGGGGCTGGCTTGAGAGTAGAAGAGGGACAATAAATTGAATCAAAATATCATGAAGACCAAGTGAAGGGTAATGAATACACTACAAGTACAGTTTTTTTTTTTTGAGTAATCAAAAAGATTCCCAAAAAACAAATAAGGTTTATTGGTTTTTGAGAACTTTAGAAGATTAGTGCTTTCATTACTAGTACTAGTGAGAGTGGTTATTTGAGTCATGTCTTATAATTATAGGTACAAGACATTGTCATATCCTTGAGTCATGTAGTGTAGTTACTTCTATCAGTAATACATCAATATGGTAGGTCAAGTGGTCCAACTATTGAGTAATTTTCTAATTGAAAAAAAAAAGAGTTTAACCTCTATCTACTAACTAACCACGTAAAAATATTTAAAAATTTCGAACTATATGTAACTGTCCAAAGACGAAGACAAAACTTAAAGTTTATGAATTCATTTTTTCTTGTTTGAGAATTTGAAGTAAAAGCTATTGAATTCGTTCAAACATGTACCTAATAGTGTACGTAGCTCCATCTATGTAACTCTTTAGAATATACGAAATTATACTAACTTGAATAATAAATCAGATAATCTAATACAATATATACATCGAGAATATATATGACAAAATCTAAGAAAATTATCTAGAAGATTTTATTAAATAGAGGAAAAAATCAGAAAGATATCATGATGGATATTAAGAAAAGGAGCCATTGTGTGTGTGTGAGAGAGAGAGAGAGAGAATTTTAATTGAGGCCAAAGCAAAGTATGCAACAAGGGTTGAGCCAAAAAAAGGCTCTTTAGCTAAATACCTTAATTTAATTGAAAGAATAGGGACAAACCTTTGCTTTGCTTATGTTCTCATATTCTTCAAGTACTTATCATTATGAGTCTTTAACTTTTATGTATTGATAATATGAAAAACACTTATATAATTATATTATTTTAAAAAGTAATTAAAAATATGTAAATGTAACGAATTAAACCTCAATGAATCATGACAATATATAAATATGTTGTAATGATATTATACATGATTTGAGGAAATAGTAACGGTTTAAATTATACCTATGCTATAAAAAAATTTACATTATCATTATCAGTGGCAGAGCTACATACAATTGAGGGGTGTCGACCGACATCCTTTCGTCGAAAAACTATACTGCATAGCTAAATAAAAATATATTTTTATGTATATATATTACACATTTGACACTCGACTTCTACACAATTTAACTTCTTTATATTTTGATACTCCTTAATTAAAATTCTGGCTCCGCCATTAATCATTATATACTTCATTAATAACATAGAATGTGGTTGGCAGGTCAGTCTCCTTTATCACAATATCTTAACCATGCACTAATTGACTTCTCAACAAAACAAAATTCACTTGATTAATTATTGGTTAGTATATACTGCATGGAGAATTAATTTATGATGTTCTTTTATTGGTTGGTCACATTTTTCCTAAATAAATTATTTCTTACCAGTTCTGACAATGTGTTTGGGTTGTCATTCTCATTTACCTAAAAAGTGCTAAGTGGACAAATGTTTCCTTTTTTTTTTCGTCATTTAACTCGTGTCTGTTTTTTTAATATATATATATTATATACGATAGAAGTTGAAAATTCGCGTTTAATTTTAAATATTTTTGTCTAATGTGTGGCTTTGTAAAGATCAAACATCAGATACTTTTGCCTGAAATTTGGTATGATTTGCCGAGACTAATTTCATAAATTTTTATCACTAAAGTTGTAGACACGTCGAAGCCAAATTTCGGACATTTTTTTACTAAAGTTTTACATGAAAAAGAAATATTCTTCTAATTTCAACAACCCATATACGATTTAACACCAAAATCTACACCTAGTAAGCTTAAATGTTAAACATAAAATTCATCTATTATAAAGAATAAACTTCAATCATCAATATGTTAAAAATAAATAATAAATCTAATAAACTCATTTTGTAAGAATGGTGATGTCACGACTCAAAAGTCGAGGTCATGATGACACACACCCGAGAACCCCATAATTGGTGTGTAAGTCGAATGAAATAACACATACGAGACTTTCAAGGGGAAGTCAGGCCACAACCGATAAGGAAACAACAAAGAAGTTCTCAAACCTGGTAGTATAGTATAAAGAGCATCTACTACATTTCTAAAATTTGGAATACATCTAAAGTCTTCGAAAAGAAATTAAAGACTGTAAATGATAGATAGCGACCAATGGCGATCTGAAAAACAGGATCTCACCACAACTCTGAAAAAGAAGATATCGCTAGATCCAATCAACTGCTACGAAGATCACCCTGACTAGGATCTGCATCAAAATGATAAAGTAGGGGTGGATACAATCCACATGTACTCAGTAGGTTAGACCGACTGAGCATAAGCAAATAATCAAACTTAAGAAATAAACTATGAAACACTTCCACCTACACATCTGGCATCGGTGCTGCCAATATTTTATATAATAATAGAGTGAATAAAGTAAACACAAAAGGATATAGATAAACAAGTCACACAACACAACAAAGCTGACCAATGCAATGAATGATGTGGTGGAACCAAGGTCATCGTATATACCTTGCCGAGCTTTAGCTTCCGGACATGGACATATGGGGGAATCACATTCAAAATACCAATCCCAATATCTCATCAACTTGTCACTTAGCTCATGATCAAGGATAAAAGTAAGGTGTCTCATTTTGTTTCTCAAAAATAGTATTTCTCCACTTTTTCGTATTCCCATGAACAATGATATGCTTAATGAGGATGAGTGCATCACAACATATACAACATAAAGACATAATCAATTCATCAAGAATTTTGAATAAAATAAAGTTCTCAAACTCAACAAGTCATGAAACACGTCCTCAAATGATAGGGATAGTGGAGGAATCCATTTGAAACCAGTCTTTACCACTTAGAAAGCATTTCTTTCATTTTAAAATGATAAAATATTAACTCAAGCCCCTAAATTGGGCATCTCAAAGTCAAATATAAAAATAAGTCACGTAGCCCTTTGTCAGGTATTACTATATAAGAAGAGTGAATAAAATTCACTCTTCTTTCGACACGTGGCACCATGGCCCACCTACTTTTATTTTATTTAAATCATATATCATATATATTACAATAATTACTATATAATTACTACTCTTCTTATATAGTAATATTTTGATTTTTTCCTTTTTAAATAGTACTAAAAAATAAATTTAAAATATTACAAATTCGATTAACTCTCAAAATTTTACGCGAATTGTATAATTAAGACGAAGGAAATAACATATATTATTTGAAAAATTACATTAAGAATACCATAAACCACAATACTTAACAACTTACAATATTTGAAAAACATATTAACTCTCAAAATTTCACATGTGTCACATAAATTGGGACAAATGGAGTAACATATATTATTTGAAATTACGTTAAGAATATTATTAATCACAACTTAAAGTATTTAAAAATACATAACATATATTATTTGAAAATAATGTAAAAAATATTATAAATCATAATAATTAACAATTTAACGGATATTGTGCCCGTGCTTCCATTTAGAAGTGAGAATGTTTAGGAGCTTAGGGTTAGTCAGTCAATTGACCGATTTGCCCTTCTTCTTCAACTTCCTCTATTTACTACAAAAATAGTACTAAAAATCAATTTAAAATATTGAAATTTTGGTTAATTCTTGAAATTTCACATGTATTGCATAATATAATAGAGTGAGTAACATATATTATTTGAAAATTATATAAATAGTACTAAAATATAGTTTAAAATAGTACTAAGAATTTGATTAACTCTCGAAATTTCGTATGTACTGCGTAATTGAGATTGAGTGAGAAATATATATTATTTGAAAAATAGAATAAATATGTGATATTATTAGAAAGAGCTTTAATATATATTTTAAAAATTATTTTGTCTTCCGTATATGATTTTCTGCATATATGTGGAGTTTTAAAGTTTTTAACATTTTAATATAGAAATATGATTATTTGAAAATTTTAGTACTTTCTTCATTTAAATTTTTCCTTGTTTTTCTTTTAATTTGTTCTACATTTAAAAATTACATAAAAAGTACTTAAAATCACAATGTAATAATATAAGATATTAAAAAAACATAATTAAAAATCATAAAAGAAATTTTATTGACTCTTTAATTCCATATTAAAACAAAAGAAGTTTGTTTGAAAATAACATAAAAAGTAACGTAAATTAAAGTAAAATAACAACTAAAAATATTTAAGAATCATATAAGAAATTTAGTTGAGTTTCGTAAAAGTACCTACGTCACATAAAATGGAACAGAAAGAGTAATATATATTATTTGAAAATGATATAAGAAGTGCTATAAATCACAATAAATTAACAACTTCAAAATATATTGAACAAAATCACATACAAAAAATTATATAACTCTCCAAATTTCATCGGTGTCACATAAATTGAAACAAAGAACTACTCCCAATTTATGTTATTTGCTTTCCTTTTTAGTCAGTCCCAAAAGAATGTCACATTTCTATATTAAGTAACAATTTGATTATAAAATATTTATTTTACCCTTAATGAAATAATTTACAGTCATACAAATTTATATCATTCATTTTGGACCACAAATTTTAAAAGTCTTCATTTCTTTTTTAAACTCCGTGGCGAATCAAACTACCTCACATAAAATGAGACGGAGGAAGTAATATACATTGGGCCCGCGCTGGCGCGGGAACCTAATAACTAGTTTACTCACATATATCAATTTTTTTAGCAACAATGGAAGGTATCACACAAGCCTCCACACAGACTAAGCATCACAATTAGGCATCACACAGACTAAACAAGAAGGTCAATGCTTACCAACCTCTAAAACTCATACTACAATCCATTTCACAGTTGACTGTCTAAGAAAAATTACTTACTCATCGCAGTCCAAAAGAGGGATAGTCAAACCTACCTCGCAGGCTGAAACTTCACTCGAACAACTGTAACGGAGCACTTTCTCAACCACACGGTCACCGAAATGATCCTCAACTATCAAAGATAGAAATAGTTCATCAAAAGGAGTCCAATGATACCCACATTTATAGGACTTGAAATCGGGGATAAAATAGTCCAAAAATCACTTCGGAAATCAAAAGGAGTAAAATTAGATTTTTAGTTGAACACAAACTCTAAAAGACGAGAAATTTTTTCGGTTGAAAAACCCATTACAATCGACCAAGAAAAGAGTTTCAATTCATAAAAATATCAATTTTCCAACTTAGGGGAAAAAACCCTTAAATCCATACTGAAATCATGATTAAAGGTGTTTTGAAAGATAAAAATTGATGAAACCAACAAAGGATTGGTAGGGAAATCTTACCCACCCGAGTTTTCACAAAAATGCTCCCAAGAATTGCTTTCTCAAAGCCTCAAAAGATTGAAAATGGTGGAAATGAGAAGAATGAAAAGATTAGGTTCTGTCTGAGTGAAAAATGGTCATCGTGATCACGAGCCACTAACTCTCGCGATCAAGAAGGGCAGAGAGGTTCACATCGTGATCGTGAAGGCTAAGGAAAGAGCTTCATCGCGATCACGAATGCCACAAAGAAGATACATCGTGATTGCGAACCTAAGGGTCACGATCGCGAAGATCAAAATGACCTGCACAAGAAACTGAAAAATCAGTAACTCAACATAAGGAAAAATGCCTCTGAATGTGATGGGTAATTAAATGAGATAAATTTAGACAAGTTTTAAATGTAAACTTTACAATTAATTGTCTATGTTTCATATGTGTAGGAGTGCAAATTCAAGTGTTGAACATAATTAGTGAGAAAGGCCAACAAGAATGCTAAAGAAAGAAAAAAAGAACAAAAATGTGCATATGTTAAGCTATTCGCCAGTGCGGCGGTCGCGCGATCAAGTGTCCAACGGCACTCCCACGCGGACATATTAAAGCAGCTACTGCCTCTCCGCGCGCTTGGATTTCCAGTGGCGCGCCGACGCGGCGGGGAAACGTGAAATCACTAAAGGATGGGTGTTTTTGGAATTTCAAAGAAAACCCTATGCTATATATATATATATATATATATATATATATAAATGATGTTGGAGCTTTCCACAAGGCGAGATCATCAAGAAATATAGCAAAAAGAAACGCTAGCTTACGAAGAAGAGGAGGTTGAACATGTGGTACACTACTCGAATCCAAAACGGAAGTTGGGATTCAAAGTTTGATTACTATGTCTTCGGTTTCATCTTTGTTCTTAGTAAACTTGTTCTCATCCATGGAGTAGATTCTTAAAGGGTATTTGACAAACATGTTGTATTGATGAATTTGTTGGGATTTTGATTTTCATTCTTATGCTTGAACTTGTTATGGAAATTTGAATTGGATTGCAACCTTGTTCATTATTTTATTTAATCGAAAGAGGAATGTCATGGTGAATATTGTTGAATAGTTTTGTTGGATTGAATCAATATATTTTCTATAAAGTAATCGAAGGAGCTTGTTGATAATTATTGATTAAATCTCAAGTAAAAATAGTCGAAGGAAGTTACTTCCTTAAGAACACGCATTAACATGTTCTTGCATAATAGAATCACAGGATTATAATTGGTTTATTCTTTAACTTGAAATTTACTCGGAAGAAAAATCTAAGGCTTAAGGATACTCTAATAAGCTATTGAATTCGAGAGAATCGATATAAATTTAGATGTGATAAATGAATGTGGTAAAATTTTAACTATCATTATGCACTTGTTTCGTCTTGTACCCTATCTTTTATTATTCATATTAAACTTCATAGTTACTAATTGTTTTTAATTAACATTTAGTCTATAAAAGTGGTTCATAATCACAACCAACTCCTTTCTTTTGATCACCTAAATAATAGTTAGCAAGATTTAATTGAATTATTATTTGTACCAATCCCTGTGGAGACGATCTTTATACTATACTATCTTTGACTAGCGAAGTGCTAAACTTATAGTGTGTTTGTGCTCATCAAATTTTGGTGCCGTTGTCGGGGATTGGCAACAAGTAGTTTTCAATAGAGTTTTGTGCATTAATTCAGGTTTTGTTTTTTATTTTTTTTAGTTAACACATCAAGTTCCCAGTATTGCAGGCAATAGGAATTAACCACAACTTGTGTGTATGACACGATCTTCCTCAAAAGAAGTTATCAAATACAATTCAGAGTTGGAGAAAACTTTATGCTTGCTTAAGAAGGAACTTGCCGAAAGGGTTTCAGGGAAGTCTCAGAGGCTTAATACAATGGGTGATATAAATGTCGATAATAGGGGTTTGAATGACCCACTCAATCTTGATAAACTAAATCGCACACATGGGATTGAATATGATGCTGAACATCCTGGGGTTGTTAACCGAAGAATTCACCGTCTTCCTGCTGAAGTGGAAGACCAAATGGATCAAAATAATGGAAGGGTGGGGAGATTGCTAGGAGACTATGCTAAGCCAAATTACAATGGGATGCAGTCCCATGTAAGATGTCCTCCTGTTGCAGCAAATAACTTTGAGATCAAGCACAGTGTTTTCCAAGCAATACAAAATAATTGTGTTTTCAAAGGGAAGCAGAATGAGGATCCAACCAGTCATATGATGGATTTTGATGAAATCATGAACACTTTTCACTACAATGGAGCATCAGACGATTCTATATACTTAAGGGCATTCCCTTTCTCTTTGAAGGATGATGCTAAGATCTAGCTACAAAGTTTACCTTCTAGATCAATTCACACCTGGGATAAAATGATGACAAAATTTCTTGATAAGTATTTCTCACCAGCAAAAACAGCTAGAATGGGAAGGAGATCAACAATTTCAGTCAACTAGAATCAGAATCAGTGTTTGAAGCATTGGAAAGATTCAAGGAATTGTTGAGGAAGTGTCCACATAATGGAATAGAGCCATGGTTGCAGTTGAAAAATTTCTGGGAAGGATTATCACCTGCGTCACAGAGGATATTAAATAATGTAGTGGGAGGACCAATCATGAAAAAGACACATGAAGAAGCAATTGAAATCCTAAATGAACTTGCAGAGAATGCTAATCAGTGCGTTGTAGAGAATTCTGAAAGGAAGAAGACTGTAGGGGTGCACCAAGTTGATACTTTCACTACCTTGCAGACGCATGTTGCATCAATTGTAAAGGATGTGAAATAGTTGACTCTAGCCCAGGCTCAAATGACGCAATCAATAACATGTGATTTTTATGCAGGAAGGCATCCTACTAATGAATGTCAACAAGGGTCATTTACAGAAGAAGAGGTTAATGCTGTTGAAAACTTTAACAAAGGAAACTATCAAGAATCAAACAATTTCAATGCAATGGGGTAAAGGCATCCTGGATTCTCATGGATCTCACCAAATGGTAATTTGAATGTGTGGCAACAGAACAATGTGAGAGGACAAAGACAAACACTTCAGGGGTACCAGAATCACCAGCGACAACAATATCAACCTCATGAGGGACAACATGGGAACCAATCGAGTTTTGAAGAGATGTTTAAAAGTTTCATCACTAAGGTTGATGAACAGTTTGAAATTCAAGGTGCTTTTATTCGAAATTTAGAAAAACAGGTTGGACAGATTGCTAATCAGATATCTGAAAGACCACCTGAAAATCTTCCAAGTGACACGTTAAGGAACCCTAAGGAGCTGAAAGTTATGACTTTGCGAAGTGGAAAAAAGTTAAATGATAATTGTAAAAGCAAAGCTTGTGAAGTTATAAAGAGCCAAGATGAGAAACAAGGAAGTAAAAAAATAGTAGGGAAGTCCAACGAAATTCAAAAAGGAAAGGAGAAGTCAGAACTAGAAATTGATTCTAAATATATGTCTGCATTGCCTTTTCCTCAAAATATGAAACGAGAGAAGCTTAACAAGTATTTTGGTAAGTTCTTAGAGATGCTGAAGCAACTACATGTGAATATTCCTTTCACGGAGGTAATCACTCAGATGCCTGCATATGCTAATTTTTTTAAGGAAGTTTTATCCAGCAAGAGAAAATTGGAGGAAACATCAGTAGTCAAGTTGAATGCTCATTGTAGTGCCATCCTTCAGAATAAACTACCTCAGAAATGTGGTGATCCGGGTAGTTTCACTATTCCATGTGCGTTAGGGACTGCTAGATTTGAGAAATTATTGTGTGACTCAGGAGCTTCTGTAAACCTTTTGCCTTTGTTCATATTCAAAAAGTTGGAAGGAGAGCTCGGAATCATAAAATCTATCCCAATGTCCTTACAGTTGGCTGACCAATCCACCATTATTCCTGAAGGGATAGTTGAAGATGTTCTAGTTAGGGTGGACAAGTTTGTGTTTCCAATAGTTTTTATTGTGGTAGACATAAAAGAAAATAAAGAGGTTTCATTAATTCTTAGCTGACCATTCCTAGCTACTGGTAGAGCAATACTTGATGTGTATGAAAGGAAACTGATGCTTAGAGTTGGAGAGGAAAAGGTAGTAGTCAATATGAAGAAGGTGGATGATCTCACATTTAAGACAACCAAGTCGGATAAAAAGATCATAGCATGGGTGCGCGTGCGCTTGGCCAAGCCTGCACAAGGGAGCCAAACACTATTTCTGACATCGACTAAAGAGAGTCAGGGAAGTTTCCTTTACTTTTGCATTTTATTTATTCCATGGGGACATGTCATAGCTTAAGTGTGGGGGTGAAGGGGTTGTAAATAACTAAAGAAAAAGATTTTTTTTCTTTCTAGGGTAGCTTCTTTGTTGTACTTCTATGGGTTTCCTGTTTAATTCTTTTACCATAGTCGTATTTATTTTGAATCAGACTTTTTTTAGGATAAGAGTCGTAGCATAATTGTTGAACAAGTGCTAGAGGTACAAATTGATTGATTCCTATCTAGAGGTTGTATTGGTTGCTTAATTGAAATGTGCTTACTTGTTGGCATGTGAAGTTGAGGCATTATCAATCTTTGAATATTGTGTGGTGAGAAGATCTTGATATGTACTCATGTTTGAAAGAATCTAGAACTTGGCATGGTAGTTTTTTTAGGCGAAATTCTAGGACTATTTGAAGAAGAATATGATTGTAGGCTTTCTTTGATTAACTCACTTCTAGCCTAAAATTCACCGACCATTGATGATAAGTATCCCTAGTCAACCAATTTGAGCCTTATAATAATCCCTTTTCTTTGATTAGCTGATACATCTCTTTAGTCTAATCCCCCTATATGTCTCTCTTAATTGAAATTATAAGTGTAGAGAATTGAATTACGAAAACAAAAAAAAAAATTAAAAATCAATTGAATCTAGCCATGTGTGAAAAGTAATGAAAGTTGTTGGATGTGTTTTCAAAAGAACATGAAAGGTGCCAAAAGAAAAAAGAGTGAAAAAGAGATGGGGGATATGACTTTTTATTTTCATATTCTACAAACGCTCTTATCACAAATTACACATGTGCAAGTCCTACATGATTTTAACTCGAGAAGGCCTACATTAGTGGAGAATTACTCAATTGCCAAGCTTATGGTATTTTGGAAAAACATGATGTATTTCTTTGTGAGAGTGAGTGAAATGAGAGATTGTGTCAATGATGCATGAACAAAAGTTTGTTAATGATAAAATTGCATCTTCTTTGTTGTGAGAAAATTCATGGATTGATTTTTGCTTAAATTTAATTGTCGATGAGTAGTCATTTAACGATAAATGTTGCATGCACCTATAGGGATGGTTGAAGTCAAGAACTGTTTTTAGTAACTTGTGCGTCAAAATCCTGAGGGGTCTAGTTGTTCTAATTTGCTCGGGACGAGCAAAAGCTGAAGTGTGGGGGTATTTGATGGGTAATTAAATGAGATGAATTTTGACAAGTTTTGAATGTAAACTTTGCAATTAATTGTCTATGTTTCATATGTGTAGGTGTGCAAATTCAAGTGTTGAACATGATTAGTGAGAAAGGCCAACAAGAATGCTAAAGAAAGAAAAAAAGAACAAAAATGTGCATATGCTAAGCTATCCGCCCGCGCGGTGGTCGCGCGATCAAGTGTCCAGCGGCGTGCCCGCACGGACACATTAAAGCAGCTACTGCCTCTCCGCGCGCTTGGGTTTCCAGTGGCGCGCCCGCGCGGCGGGGAAGCATGAAATCACTAAAGGAAGGGTGTTTTTGGAATTTCAAAGAAAACCTATGCTATATGATGTTGGAGCTTTCCCCAAGGCGAGATCATCGAGAAAAAAAGCAAAAAGAAACGCTAGGTTACGAAGAAGAGGATGTGTAACACGTGGTACAGTACTCGAATCCAAAACGGAAGTTGGGATTCAAAGTTTGATTACTATGTCCCTTCTTTTTCATCTTTGTTCTTAGTAAACTTGTTCTCATCCATGGAGTAGATTCTTAAAGGGTATTTGACAAACATGTTGTATTGATGAATTTGTTGGGATTTTGATTTTCATTCTTATGCTTTAACTTGTTATGGGAATTTGAATTGAATTGCAACCTTGTTCATTAGTTTATTTAATCGAAAGAGGAATATCATGGTGAATATTGTTGAATAATTTTGTTGGATTGAATCAATATATTTTCTATTAAGTAATCGAAGGAGCTTGTTGATAATTATTGATTAAATCTCAAGGAAAAATAGTCAAAGGACGTTACTTCCTTAAGAACGGTCATTAACATATTCTTGCATAATAGAATCACAGGATTATAATTGGTTTATTCTTTAACTTGAGATTTACTCGGAAGAAAAATCTAAGGCTTAAGGATACTCTAATAAGCTATTGAATTCGAGATAATCGATAGAACTTTAGATGTGATAAATGAATGTGGTCAAATTCCAACTATCATTATGCACTTGTTTCGTCTTATACCCTATCTTTTATTATTCATATTAAACTTCATAGTTACTAATTGTTTTTAATTATCATTTAGTCTATAAAAGTGGTTCATAATCACAACCAACTCCTTTCTTTTGATCACCAGAATAATAGTTAGCAAGATTTAATTGAATTATTTTTTGTACCAATCCATGTGGAGACGATCTTTATACTATACTATCTTTGACTAGCGAAGTGCTAAACTTATAGTGTGTTTGTGCTCGTCAGAATGAACCTTCAAAAATTATTCAAAGTTTGATAAAAATAAACTAGACATGCTACCCTACTAAATTCGACATTCCCAATAAACTAGACATGCTACCCTACTAAATTCGACATTCCCAATAAACTTTCTTATTGTTAATTAATAGTTTTGTCCTTTAAGTTATAACTTATTATTTTAAGTAGGTTTATTTTGTTGCTTTTATTTTCGTTTTTATTTTAAAAACATTATGTTGCACATTCACTTTAATAAAAATGTGGCGATAAGCCACGCAAAAAACCTATCTATCTATATATATCAGTTACGACTTACGACTGGCCTAATATTTATTCACCAAGTGAGAATGACTTATGACTTATTATTAGTTATTAGTTATAATATTTTTTACGTAGTTTTTAAATATATAGATTTTAATTTAATTCTTCTTTTGAAAATTTCATACCTAAATTTGCACTCAAACTTAAACTATTTAACTCTCAAAGTTATAAATAATCCCTCCCCATCTAACAAACGATCCTCAAAGCTATAAAACAAATAAAAGAAAAGAATGACCGAACGGAAAAGAAGAATCTCAATACTACTTCACAAAGCAAAAATGAAGAAATAAATGAAAGTCTTGCAATAAGTTGTGCCAAATCTCTTCATAAGTAAACAAAAGAAAATCAAACTTCCTAACAACTAAAATAGTAAGTATAACTTTCCATAATGCAAGAATTAAGTGGAGAACGCAAATAAAATTGCTCCCTCCGTTCTTATTTATAGGTCGTCCTTACTAAAAATAGATGATTCTTAATATTTCTTTCGTCCAACAATAATTGTCCCCTATACTATTTTGGGATATCTAACAATACTTATTTACTTTATGAAATCAATGGATATTTTACACTTAGTTCTTAATTTACCATTATTATTAATTATAGTCATTTCTCTATTACATTTTCAAGATACTATATTTATTATATTCAAAGGGTGATATAGTAAAATTATCCTTCTATTTATAATTTCTTAAGAAGTGTGCTAAGTCAATAGTGGATAAATATTATTGTTGAACAGAGGGAGTTTATGTCATTTCACAATATCAATGCACAAATGACATTATTCTTCTTATTTTACCCTTGAGAGTTAATAGTCTTGAAAGTATGAATTTGACCAACATTGAAAAACTAAGTGATTAATTTATGTTCATTGAAAAATTTAAATAATCAAAATAAATTAATGTATGTTCATGTCACGACCCAAAATGAATCGTGAGTGGCACCCACACTTAACCTCCTAAGTGGGTGAACCAAGGAATCCAAACCCCAACATATATCAATAATTCAACTACGAATAACAACAATAATGCGGAAGCTCAAAACTTATTAAAGTAACCAATCAAATAAACCTCTAAAGTCCAACACTTATTATCCCCCAAAATCTGAAAGTCGTCACATCAAGGACATCTAATCTTCAAATACTAAGTCTAAGAGTATTATAGACACCAAAATAAATGAATAAAATAGTTTATGTCTGAAAACTAAGGACATCATGCTATGACCAAGAGAATCCAACATGAGCTGGAATGAATAGCTCACCTTAGAACTTGATGTGCTGGAGACTGGCTAGAGCTGAGGGCGAGTCGAAGTCACTGATACACTCGTTGCACTCCACAAAAAGAAAATAAAGAAAAACACAAGTAAGGCTCAGTACAGGGCAACATGTACTGAGTAGATATCATCGGTCAACCCAAAATAGAAACTAATATGTAATGAATAATAGTATAAAATCAACTATGACACTTAGCAGGTGGCAAGCAACAAACACATGAACCAGTGTCAACAACACTAAACTAAGTACGTAATCATTCAATAATATCAAGATCACACATGAGGGCCCATGCCTCCAAACCAAACTAATTTGGGAATTGAGTTCTTTGAGATTGAGTACATTAAATTAATTCAATATATTTTTCCTTTAATGTTACCGTGTCGAAACGTGACACTCTGATTCAATTATACCATGTTGGAATGTGACACTCCGATCCAATAATACTGTGTCGGAACGTGACACTCCGATCCAATTATACCGTGTCGAAACGTGACACTCTGATCCAATAATACCGTGTCGAAACGTGACACTCCGATCCAATTATACTGTGTCGGAACGTGACACTTCGATCCAATTATACCGTCTCGGAACGTGACACTCCGATCCAATTATACTGTGTCAGAACGTGACACTCCGATCCAATAATATCATTAATTTATCATTTATTATCACCACTTTTCAATTCATTAACAATATTTCATCAAGCCTTCTTTATTCAAGGCATCACTTCGATAGAGAG